TTCGTTGCCATCGAGCCGACTCCAGCTCATGATGAATTGTATACACGGAAACTGTTATACATAGAAACTCAGCCCCTGGAATCTCTCTTGGCAGCAGAAGTAAGCCCTTTTCCGGTACATAATGAGGCTTTTCCTGACTTGTTTGAAGATGCTATTTTGTATAACAGAATGAAATGGTGCCTGATCCTCTGCCATCTTCATGATCATTGGTGTGTTTGAGTACTACTGAAGGTTAAGTACCACTATTTGGCCTCTGCCATCCCAGGCTCCCATCAGCCCCATTTAAATCAGGGAGATCTTTCCAACTGCAGTGCCTTTCACAGCATCCCTGGCCACAGAGAATAACCACTGTGGTGCTTTTCAAAATGGTGGTGCTGCCTTCTTCAGCGACTTTTCTGAAAGCCTTAATGGAGACCCCTTTGCGGGATGTGGTTAGAAGAGACATGAGCTGGCTACGTGTGAGGAATCCACTTCAATATTTCCTTCTCCTTATATCTTTGGATTCTTTCCTACACACATACCCGGGGATTTCCTCCTTCTCATCTTCACTTAGCTGAGTCTAGAAGCCAGTCAATCAATTTAGACTGTACATTGAAACCAAAGTGCATTCATGTTGACAACTTTAGGTTTATTCACACGTGCTCTTCAGGTTTGTGACAAGCTAAATTAGAAAAAAAATCTAAGTTTCTAAATTGGAAAAATCTTGCTGGGTATGCCAGATCTGAGTGAAATACTAAGAGTGGAGGTAATCAGAATTGATGTGAGAGGGGTGGGGAGGAGAATTGACTCCTTTTTGCAAGGTAACTGCCTCAGGTGAAGTCAGAATACCAGTTACCAGTTGCCATTGAGTCAGTTCCGACTCATGGTGACCCCATGTGTGTCAGAGTAGAACTGTGCTCCATAGGGTTTTCAATGCCTAATTTTTCAAGAGCAGATTGCCAGGACTTTCTTCTGAGGCATCTCTGGATGAACTTGTGTAGCTGAGCACGTTAACTCTTTGCATCACCCAGGGATTCAGAGGTCAGAATAATGTCTTCAAACAAGGCAGGAAAAGCCTCATTGTGTAAGAGAAAAAGGCTTGCTTCTGCTTCCAAGAGAGGCTCGATGGGCGGAGTTTCCAGGAGTCATCCAAATCGTCCTTTATAGTCCCATTCCAACTGCCAGGCTTCCACTCTTTCACACGTGAAATCTGGCTGCGCTGGTAATTCATCTGACTTTGTAAAGCCTTATCTTTAATGAGTACTTCATTCTAGGTGACCATAAGCCCTTAATTGAACTGTTTTGCCACACATGCCAAGGGTTTCCAGAGCTCATATCTTCATACTAGCTGAAGCTCAGGTTTCACTCCTAACAAGGCCAGATAACCAGATTCTTCTCATTTCCTCAAAATTCTGTTGCCTGAAATCCCACTCTGGGTGATTTTCTTTCTCTTTTCCTACTGTCCCTGTTGGTTTTATTTTGCTCCCTTGAAACTTGAGATGACTATTTTGGGGTACTGACCATGACTCTCTTGGAGCCTAAAGGTCACTGTAATAGTGACCTTTAGTGACCTTTAGGTGGACAAGTGTGTGACCTTAGAGTAATAGCATGGACTGTGCTAGGTAGTGACTTCTTTTTTTTTTTTTTATATTTTATTGTACTTCAGGTGAAGGCTTACAGAACAAATAGTTTCTCATGAAACAGTAGCACACATGTTGTTTTATGACATTGGTTAACAACCCC